ACTCCAGTTGAGGCCGGACCAATGTCGCGTAGAGGGGGAGTATCCCCTCTCTGGACTGGCTTGAGATGCATCTTTGGATGCACGACAAGGTGCGGTTGGCTTTGCTGGCTGCGGTCTGGCATTGGTGGCTCATGCTCATCTTGGAGTCAATAATGACTCCAAGATCCCTTTCCGCCTCTGTGCTCACAAGGGGGGAGCTCCCCAGCTTGTATGTATGCTATGGATTCCTTCTCCCCAGGTGCAGCATCCTGCATTTATCTACATTGAACCCCATCCTATTACCATCCGCCCACTTTTGTAGTCTGTCTCAATCTAATTGCAGCCTCTCTCTCCCTTCGAGCATGCCTACCTCTCCCCACATCTTGGTGTCATCGGCAAACTTGGACAATGTGTTTTCCGCCCCCTCGTTGAAGTCGCTGATGAAGATGTTGAACAGTGTAGGCCCCAGGACCGAGCCCTGGGGGACCCCACTGTTCACATCCCACCAGGTTGAGTACGGCCCGTCCACCACCTCTCTCTCTCTCTCTCTCAATGTTTACTATCTAAATTTGTGAATTTACTATTACAGTATCACCCAAACATGCTAGGGCTGGTTTAAATAAAGAAAGTCAAGGTATTTGTCCCAAACACTATGCCAAGATTGTAAAAAGGAAAAAATCTTTAAAATAGTATCTAAGTAGGTAGCCCAACTTTTCAAAGGTGCTGTCACTCAACAGCTTCCATTAGTTTGAGATGAAGAAACTGGACAGGAGCAAGAATTATGATTACACGGTCGGGTGGGTGGTGAATTGGCTTAAGGGACGCACCTAGAGAGTGGTGGTGGATGGGTCGGTATCGACCTGGAAAGCTGTGGGCAGTTGGGTCCCCCAAGGTTCGGTCCTTGGACCAATGCTGTTCAATATCTTCATCGGTGACTTGGATGCGGGCGTGGAGAGCACTCTGTCCAAATATGCAGATGACACCAAATTGTGGGGCAAAGTAACACACAGGTGGGCAAGGAATGGATTCAGGGGGATTTGGATAGGTTGGAAAAGTGGGCAGAACAGAACAGGATGCACTTTAACAAAGTTTAGCAAAGTGCTGCACCTAGGGGAAAAGAATCACCAACACACTTACAGATTGAGAGATGACCTTCTAAATAGCACAGTGGCAGAAAGAGATCTCGGAGTCATAGTAGACTCCAAGATGAACATGAGTCGCCAATGTGACAAAGTGATAAGTAAAGCTAACCGCACTTTATCATGCATTAGCAGGTGCATCACAAACGGGTCTAAGGAGGTGATACTTCCCCTCTCTGCAGCATTGGTAAGGCTGCAGTTGGAGTACTGCATCCAGTTTTGGGCACTGCACTTCAAGAAGGATGTAGATAACTTTGAGAGGGTTCAGAGGAGGGCTACTCATATGGTTAGGGGCCTGCAGGTCAGGCCCCATGAGGAGAGATTGAGGGACCTGTATCTCTTCAGCCTCCGCAAGAGAAGGCTGTGAAGTGATCTTGTGGCCATCTACAAATTTGTCGGGGGGTGGAGGGGATGCAGCAAGGAATAGGAGATGCTCTGTTTACCAGGGTGCCCCTAGGGGTTACTAGAAACAATGGCCACATACTCAGAGAGCAGATTTGGATTGGACATTGGGAAGATCTTCTTCACAGTAACGGTTACCAGAATCTGGAATGGGCTTCCAAGGGAGGTGGTGCTCTCTCCTACTCTAGAGGTCTTTAAGAGGAGACTGGACAAGCACCTGGCTGGGGTGCTCTTTCCTGCCCAGGGCAAGGGGTCGGACTTAATGATTTACTGAGGTCCCTTCCAACTCTAAAAATTATGAAATCTAAAAGATGGGTTTGGAGCCAAACGTTCAGTCTGTGTAGGGTAGAAAATGGTCAGCTTCAGTATTGTGGTGATCATTCTGATGACCACATGAGGTTGCAGACAGGTGTCATACTTAGATGAGTTTAAATGCAGTTTATACCACAAGCCTCCAGACATACTTAGACCATCTTTTGTTTAAAACTCCTGAACTGTTTCAAAAGTATAGCTGGATAATCAAGTATTACTTTGGATGAGTTGTGTTATGTGCAGATACCAGGTTTTCCATGATTAGTGTCTGGCTGGTCCTCCAGGCATCCCACATTACACAACTTCTTACCCCTCTACCCCCAATTCCTGTGCAGTAACTGTGGTTGCTCTGGTATACATCCAGAACTCTACTGCCCTAGCCTCTGTTGGCTGTCCTTCACTGTCATGTCCCTGGCTGGGGGCAGCTCTCCTCTGCTTTTAAAGAGCTAGTCAATTTCTTTCCTTTGGTAGCAGTTTGTAGCAGGGCACTGGAGTGTACCTGCTCCTTTAAGGGAGCTAGCAGCCTGTGAGGCTGCTTTCAGGTGGTGGAGGGAGCTAATGAGAGGTTCACCTGACTGGAAGAGGACTCAGGCTGGAGCTATATAAGCCCAGAATCTGAGCTGGCCAAGGAGTCTCTCCCTAGCAGCCACAAAGTGAGGAGCTCTAGGCAGCAGGGTTCCTGAAGGGACTGCAACTTATAAACAACTCCTTAGGCCTGGGAGCACAGGCAAGCCCCCTGGGCAGAGAAGGACTGAGTTTTTACAGGCAAGTGGCCTTTGATTTATTTTGAGACCAGAGAGGGTCCTGGTGCCCTGGGAAGGATTAAGCTGGACCAGAGGGTTCCTGAGCTTGGAGAATGGTGGCATGGAGGACCAGGGGCCTAGGAGTCCAGAGAGGGGGGCAATAGGCAGGACTAGGGGCCCAGGAGCCCAGTGGGACACTGTATAAGGGACCAGGGAGGTCCAAAAGCCCAAGGAAGCCAGAGTGTATGAATAGGCAGCATCATAGAGAGAATATCCGCAAGGCTTGGGGCATGGGGTAGGGAAGGTTAGGAGCAGGGAAGGTTAGGAGCCATGCAAGGAGCCCTTAAGGTGACCGATGCCAGAAGCCATACAGACATGCTGAGAGGGCCTGGTAGTCTGGGAGCATTAGACTGTGACCTGAGGGGACCCAGGAGAGGTCCAGTGAGGGTCAACATAGGCTTGGGTTCACTCAGAGCCCGCAGGCAGCCTCTCTTTTATAACTTTCATTAAGAGTAAGGTGTGGTGGGCAAGATTCAAGGGAAGGGCTGCCGCTGAGCTTGAGCCAGGCAGGGACTGCACAGCCACCCAGGAGTGTCATGGCTGCCCCCCATAGCCACAGACCTGTTACACATTTATACTGTGTTCTATGTATCCCAGGCTTCATTTGGTGTGTAAAGTGGCTGGGGGGAATGACACATGGTGGTGGTGCCTGGATCTCTGCTTCTGTGCTCTTAGAGGTTGGGGGTACCAAGGGCCTGCCCAAGGACTCCACTGCCACCAGTGGAATGAAATTGTCCAGGCAGCTAGACATCCTGACCTACACCCTCCCCCACCCCCACCCCTAAATCAGCCTGAGATACACTGAACATTGGTCAGTTTTTAGGGCACTGAAGTATACTGATGAGTGTCTTGGTCTAGGCAATCCCCGCAACCACACACAACTCCATACACCCACACGCCCCCCCTAGATACTCCCAGGCAGGTACAGATTGCAGTAAAGTGCAGCAATGGGTCTTCACTGAACTTGGTGTTGGTAAGAACTTGTACCTAGTATAGAAATTGCAATGGGTCTGGGTACTCACTACCACCTTGGTGATGGTTCAGCAGCACTGCAGTGCCTAAAAGGTGCCCGTTGTACTTAAAACTCTTAGCAGCCTATTGTGTGGACACCTCTGACCCAGGACATTTGTGAACCAATATCACAATCAGTGGGTGTGTCTATACATGCATTAGATCTGGGAGCAGTTTACTTGTGAGTAAACACTCCTGGGCAGGCATCCACATGTGCAGGGAAATGGGAACAGATTTGTTACTAACTGCTCCCCTTCCTGGGGCTCTTCAGTGGGTCCCTGCTGCCATCTGCTCTAGTCTCTGCCTAGGTGCTAGTCCAGGGGCTGGCAGGGAGCTGGCTGGGGCTGGGACATTGCACACTGCCCCTGGGGGGCTGCCTACTTTTCAGCTGCAGGGAGCTCCTGGCCCTGGCTCCCTGATGGGGGCAAGAGATTTGGAAAGAGCTGCAGGGGAAGGGCAGGTCCCAGCCCCCTTCCTCGATCTTCCAGTGAGGCAGCTGGCAGCTAGATCGTTGCAAGCTGCCCCACTAATGGATCAGGGCAGAGGGCTGGGACCTTTCCCACCCCTGCAGCTCGTTCCAACCCCCATGCCTCGATCACCCGATTTGGGCATGGGGCTGGGACCTGCCCCTGACCACAACAGGTCCCAGCCCCCACTGCAAAATCCCACAATCAAGGAGCTGGGTGGGGAACAGGTTCCCCAGCCCCTTCCAGCAGGAAGCTCCCAGGTCCAGCTCTGCAGCCATGGGGCCAGGACTGAGAGATCCTTATCTCCCAGTGCCAGCTTCTGTTGTGGGGCTTGAGATGGGAGATAAGGCTCTTCCAGCCCCCTGCTCCCCGATTGTGATGGTGAAGTTGGGGCTGGGAGGTAAGGATCTCCCAGCCCCCGCTCCCTGCTCACACAGGGGGCTTGGAGCTCCGTGCTGCTGGGGCAGGAGGACATAATTCCCACCTAGTCTCTGGTTGCAGAGCCCTCCTCAGCAGCCGACAGCTCCTGGGGGCAGGGAGCAATCTCCCGCCCCGTGGTGGCCAGCTGACTGGGAGCAGTAAGTAATCGCATGTAAATTTGCTACTTGCGTTTGCACGTGTAGACGCACACGCTTACTGTGTAGTAAACTATGCTACAGCGCAATAAAGCATCTTGCATAGATGCACCCAGTGACATTCTTGGAATGGTTCAAATGTCATAACTGTCCACATCCTTAGGGTCTGCTGATTCCCATGGCAGAACTTAGAGCTGGGTTCTCTGCCTGAACCTTTTGGATTGAAAGCGTCTTTAGTCTCTGAACATGACTCCTCCCTAGAATTCCCCAACTCGTATGTATCAAGAGTGTAGGACTACTGGACCATTCGTTGTATCCCTAGACTTGAGGTGGAGTTCATGCTCTAACACCTGCTCAGGCTACTTCTGGAAATGGAAAATTGTTTAATCTAACAACTGTAACCTATTGTACCCATGGTTTCCCTCAGGAATCGCTAACTCTTGTTTGCATATGCATATAGCTGATGGATCTTAAATTATTGTAAAGAAACTCTACTGACATTGATTTTTCTAGATGGGAAGATGTTTGCAAATGAAGTGAAGAACCAATTGACTTCATTAGCTGAAGAGATGATGGATCTGGCTAAGTTCTCTGGCACTTCTGGACAACTTACAAACACAGAGAGGTTAGCTATTGCTTAGCTCTTATTTCCTTTTTACCTACTGAATCTATGTTAAGTGCTGTGTTCTTGTGCATCTGTTGCTAGAATCTGGCCTAATGCTATAAATCAAGGCTGTCCAACTGGTGGTCTGTGCGCTGCATGGAGTCCTTGATGAGTTAAATCACAGCTCCAGGCTCCCAATCTGGGCATCACTCTGCTGCATTGTTCTGCTGCTGCTGTCAGCAGGGTCTCCAGGCTCCCCCTCTTTCTTTCAGCTTCTGCTTCCTGTTCCTGATCTAGGGGGTAGGGCAAGGCAAGGCAGGGTGGGTTGCAGAGCTTTGGGAGCCCGTGCCTTCGTGCGGGCAAGCTCTGTACAGCATGCAGCTGCTCAGAAATGGGATATCAGTGTTACAAAGGTATAAATCTGTGCTTCTAAATATACATCTGTCTGTATGCCTGCCTTTGCTTAAGAAACCACATTTTGAAGCAGGTTCACTTTTTCTACCTAGAGATAAAAGGGTGAAGAAGTTCCTTGTTTTTTGTTTTTGTTTTTTAAATTTTAAAGAATCCAACTTAACCAGAAATAGATAGATATCTGTCTTTACATATACCATAGGAGATTGGATCTTTAGATGTTAAATATTTCTCCCTTAACCCAAGTTAGTATCCACAGAAGAGTCTCAGATTCTTTTCTTTTGTTCCTTTCAGTATTTGATATTTCCTTTACATTTCATAGTCAATGTTAAGCTTTTGTTGGGGGGGGGTGGGTTATATATAACCTGCTTATTAATTCAACTCCTTTTTCACAGGAGTTCTCAGGAAGGTTTAATAAGAATGCTACAAGGTTATCTGATAGCTGGCATCCTGTTATTTCCCTTACCAAGTCCTCAACCATTTTCAAGAAGTTTAATTCTTGGACAGAATCCTCCCAACACTCCATGTTTTTTCCAACTCTTGGCTGTTCTTATTCCACAAACATGTCTAATTTTAAGTGGGATGAGATACCATTGATATATTATTGGTATTATCAATTTTCACTTTTATAATTATAAATTTGGTATTATCAGTTATCCATTTTATTAAAATAACTTTCTTTTGCTGTCATGCAAAATTGTGTGTGAGAATCCCTTCCCCTGCCCCACACCCGGTTTCTTGAGCTCTGGTTGAATTTGAGATGCTTCTAAAATACAACAATTGTCTAAGCCAGTGGTTCTCAACCATTTTAGATTTGAGGCACTCCTCGACAAACTCAAGGCATGCCTCAGAAAATGTCAGCTCTTAGTTTTCAACTCAGTTTTTGACTACAGAAAAATAAGAGAACAGTTCTTTTGTTGCAAAGAATGTAGACCACAACAGGTCCGAATGTTTTTAGCGCTATTAATCCCTATTTGAAATCTCTGGGTTTATCTTGTGATAAGTGCTAACACTACATGGCATCTCATGGGCCCCCCTTAAAAGGATCTCAAGGGCCTATAGAGTTTTGTTGCACCCTGGTTGAGGATCACTGGTTTAAGCTCATGCCCCTGGCCCTATGGTTATTTTTAAAATTATTTTGTAAGCTGAAAAGGTATTTTCATAGGTGTAGGTTCTTTGAAAGTGGCAGATACAATTCTGAGAAAATGTTCTAAAGTTTTAAGAATGAAAAAAATTCCAAAAATCAAACTTCCTATTATCATAGTTCATAATATAGTAAATTCTTGGTTATCTCAACCTTGGTTATCAAAACTCTGGATTATCTGCCTAGCAACTTTATTTTAATAATAAACACAGTTGATTTGATGTGATTTTACATTATCCATCATGTGTTAGAATTAGTTGTTCCTTACAAGATGCTGTGGTTTTACTTTTTCAAACCATTTCAGTTATTTTTAATGGATGTTTTCAAAATGTTCAGATAACCAAGGATGTACTTTATTGCAATGTGGAATGCATTTCAAATCAAATATTTCTTAGGAAGGCTGAAGTCCACATTGTTTGATTCCTCAGGAAAAAAGAATGAACTTGTGAACCAACTTAATGATTGTCTAGAAAAGAATCTTCAAAAATGGTTTTAAGCAGTTTTTAATACCATTTTCTTCTTATGGTTCAAGTTGACTTTTATATTTTGATTATACTATAAAAGATCTCAGCTGGGAGATTCCAATAAAGTAGTTCTTTCCTTTGTGTGTCCTTGTTATAGAGTAGAAAAAGTCCAAGATCTCTTGAGCTCCTTAGAGCTATACTTTTAGTATTTTCATATTTAGGAACTCAAGGTAGTCCTGTTGAAGGTGATGGCATTGCCCCCATTGACTTCAACAAGGCTAGGGTTTCATCCTTCAGCCTTCTTCCAAGTTTTCATATAGGTTTAAACTAAAAAAAGGGGGAAAATCAATCTTGTCCTCTGATTTAGTTACCAATTTGATGTCTCTTTTTGTGTGGGCTGCAGAAACCAAAACTGTTTGTAACAGAAAACTCAGTTGAAAACCTATCCATAAACTGCTGCTTTTGCCCCATAATACAGGCTTTATAAGAACTGCATGCAACTACTGAATTAGAAATAGGCATCATGGAGTTGCATGTTGAAAATCTAGGATGAGCTATGGTTCAGAAGAAAAAGCAGAGTGAATATTTAAACTTCAGGTACCTAACTGAGGTGATAATTGGACAGCTTAGAAACATCTTTACGTTCTCACTTATAACAAGTATAACTGAAGAGAATCCAATAATACTCTGGTAAAAGTTGCAATTTCCAATTAATAATAATAAATAACTTCAAGTACTTTGTGGCAGTAGAACCAATTGTTTCCTGACTTGAATAGAATAGAATAGAGTCTTTATTCATGTTGTACAGCACTGAATGTAAATGAGCTATCAAATGGGAGAATTTAAACAGTAGAGAGTATATTTCACAATATAGTTTCAACAGTAAATTTGAGGCTTGTGATTTTTTTAAATTATTTAAAACTAAACTCTTTACTCTAAAATGAGCTCTGTGGTCCCATTTTCTTCTTAGAGATAATATCTTGTGGTGTATCTAAGTTTCATTTGATTCTCCCCCATATTAATAATACCATATTTACCCAAATCCAAGATAACTCCTGAATTTAAGATGACCCTCCAATGTGGCTATATGTGGAAAATTTATACATTTGTTATACTTTTCCATGTATAGAATCTAATTATTGGAAGATTGTCTTAAATTCATCCCCAGCACCACTGGAGTGGGGAGAGCAATGGTAGGTGGGCAGGTGGTAGGGGAGGCAGTGCAGGGAGGGTTAGGGCAGGCAGTGGGGGAAGTGGTGGGGAGACAGGCAGCTTGCCCCCTGCTGCTTGTCATCCCCCCCCCTCTACCCTTCCATTGTGCCTGCCCCCACAGCCTCTGCTCCCTGCCTACTACCCCACCACATCCTTGGCACTACCCTTCTCCCCATCTCACTCCCCTGCAGCCTCTTCCCCCTCTCCTGCTCTTGCTCAAGCTCTGGCATTGTAGTGATGATGCAGAGAAGAGGGAAAGGGGGGGTGAGACAGGGGAGGGGGTGTGGAAAATTGCGGCTGCAGGTTGTCGGGGGGGGTTCTAGAGGCTACAGGGATCAGGCAACAGCTTCAGCTTTGGCTCTGTCCCAGGGCTGGGGCTGGAGCTGGAGGTGCCTACTCCCCCCCTCCTCGTGCTTGATTCCAAGATGAGGGGGTTTCCCCCCATGTTAAATGGGGACGGGGAACTCAATCTTGGAATTGAGTAAATATGGTAATATTACACTTAATTTTCTTCACAGTTATTGATACATATAGTAAAGTCCTTGTGTTTTCATATTACACAAATTTTTTTTAGCTTACTGTCATAACCCAGTGATTTTGGTGCCTCGGCACGATGGAATTTTCCCGCCACGTGAGAGCCTCTTGCACAGCAAAGGGTTTTTGTTGCAACAGAAAAACCCCGGTGCAAGAGAGTTCCCGCCATTTGAATGCAAATTTGTGTCCCGCTATTGGCCAGTTCTAAATTATTCCTACGTGGCGGCTAGTAATTGGCTTGCTAGCCGTTTAAAATTTCGTGCGACTTCTGCCCAAGTCGGAGAACTTTGAGCACGCTGCAGAGTGCCTCTAAAGAGATCTGACTTGTGGCTGAGCTGGGTGAGAGACTGATCACCTATCGATTCTTCTCCGTGTTGCCGAGCGCAATCCTCGACGTACCCTTTCCCCGCCGGCTTAATTTGTGGACGGATTAGCTGGCCTGAGCCTTGCCAGCTGGAGCAACTCACATAGTTGTTCAAACGACCGGACCATCTGTGTCGCGGCTACAAGCGGCGTAAGTAAAGTTTTTGCAACCATTAAGCTTTGTCTGCCTCTCCATTCACCAGCCCGCCTAGCGAACGAGTAATTTCTAAAATCACCTCGAGTCGGCTCCGGCCGTCCAAGACACTAATGATAATACAGTTCATAAGATTATATGTATATAGCTGAGCTCTTGAATGTTTGACTTAATAGCTTTCTAAATTCACTGATCATATACAGTATCTGCTGGGTATTAGAATCTTGCTTAATAGTCTCAGCTGCATATCAGTATTAAACCCCCAAAATTGAATGCCAAAAACATTGTATGACAGACATTTTATGCTGCTTATTCATATCTCACTTAATAGAATCAGCTGCTTGAAGTATCAAATTTTATATAATCTTTTTTGTTTTAATTGGAGTAGACTAGGAGTGTCCCATGGGAGTGCGGGGGAGTCCCCGCTGTGCTCAGTGGTGGACCCGGAAGTGGACCGAATGTATTTCCGGTCCACTTCCAGGTCCACTGCCCAACACACGGGGGGGTGGGGCTTGTTCCGGTGGGACGCTCCATCCGCCCCACCATTGCAGCATTCACAAGCCGTGCCTGGTACCTCAGGGTATGTAGAAGAAACATATAAAGCTGTGTCTATGGCTGAATCGCTGATTCTCTGACTCAGAATCGAATCTTCAAGTTCGGATTTGGACAAATCGAATCAGGACAGTGATCCAAATCAACTAATCAAATCACTGTCCCCCAAATTGGGGCCGAATCTGAATCAAATATGGCCCGTTTTGCACATCCCTAGCTGTTATACATGTGTATAGCTAATTTTCATTAGAGTTCTGTTCTTCTTCCCCCATGGGGTCAATTTTTTTGGTAGGTGTACCAGAAATTAAGCCCTGTGGATCTCCCCCCACTCTGATCCTTTTTGCCTGCCTGATGTGCTATTGTGCTTTCTGCTCCCTCCCCTGTGCTCCCTGCCTGCTCTGCTTTTTGCTCCCTACTCTATCTGCCATTGTGCTGCCTGTCCCTTCTGTGATCTGCCGTGCGCCCCATAAAGAAGCTGCCTATGCCACTTGTGGTGCTCATGTCACAGGTTAGCCACTGTGTTCTAGCCCAAACTAGTAAAGTAGGCATCTTTATGCTGACTCCAACAGAAAATGGTAAGTTGAGATGGTAATTTTTTTCCTTCCTGGTTGCTTACTCAGAAACTGATAAATTAGCAACCACATTGACTTGTATTGAAAATAAGTTTTAGAAATATTACCTCAAAAAGATGCTCATAAAATAAGCTAAAGGGCACTAAAAATAGATTTGTTGGATGAATTGTATCATTATATGACCCATGATATTTTCTTCCATGTGACTTAAAGCTTGTGGCTACTTTACCAGTCTCTTTCAATGGTAAGAAAAGTACAACTACATAAATATGGTATTTTGGCTCGCTTTGAGTAAATGTGATATTTTATGTAAACTTTCTATGTTTAAGCAGTATCACAGCATGGTGAAAGCAGTTTCCTTCACTTAGTCTTAAAAGTGAAAATGGATGTATATTGTTTTGCAGTTGAGGAAAAATAAGGTATGTTTCTGGAAAACTTATATAGCTGAAATGATAAATTGACACTTTGTAAGAGATTGATTGGGAGGGTTTTTATGTTAGACTTATCAGTGAAGTGCAAACCTTTTTAAAAATTCTGGTAAGACACGGTAAGATTTATTTAAAGCTTGATTTAAGTTTCTTATTTTTTCCAGTAGAACTGTGGAAATATTAACTTGTATATCGGAAAATATAAGTGCCTTAAGAAGCTTGTTGCTTCATGAATCAAATGATCAAGTGGAATTGGGAAGCAGTTGTGCTGTAGGTTCAAGAAGACCTGGAATTCTGTCCACCATTCTTGAAGAAGAAATGGGTGTAACACCTGAATTTACTAGAAGACTGCAAGATAATTTAAACGACTCTGATCATTCTTTAATGTGCATCAAGGGGGAGCATCCTAGTGATAAAGAAACAGAAGGTACCAAGATTGACCATAAAGTTGGGACCGAAGAGGCAGAATCCAAGAAAAGCCGGGATAGAGACTGCTTAATGTCGCTTGACATTACTGAATATGAACTTCAAATGTTGGAGCAACAGGCTAATGAAGAAATGCTAAAAGAAGCTGTTTGTGTGACTGAGGTAATAGAGAGAAAGTAAATCAATACAGGTCATAAACATTGTTAATTTGCTAAGATATTTTAAATAGCTGTCTGTGAGTGACAGTTAATATGAAATATTTAATTGATGAACTTAAAGTTTTAGTTTTGGCAGCATCTAAAACCTGTCAATTTGAGCTGCTCTTTAGGTCTGCTGCTAGTTGGCTCTTATTACTTCACAATCTGGCCAAACGCTAGATATTTTTAAAATATTTCCTGTATTGTTCACATTTAATGTGTGAATTTTAGGCCCCTGTTCCATAATTATTTCAGGCCCCTGCCACATGCTGTGCCAGTAAAGTTACTGGTAGCCACATAGGCTCTGATCTCTGACCCTTGCATGGCAGGAATCATGATTTTGGAATCAAGGATCAGTTCCTAATTGTGCCATTATTGCTTGCCAGTGCATCATCATGCTGGGGTTCCCCTGCACTGGCAGGTTGAAAGAAGAGTGCCCAGGTCCAGCCGGCTGACAATCAGCTGATTGTCAGATGACAGCTGGGACCATACTGGGGACTCAGACTGGCTCTGGTGTGATCTGGAGCTGGGCTGTTGATCAGCTGATTGTCAAAACCCCATGCCCCAGAGCTCTGGCCAGGTTGCTAGGTGCAGGAGATGAGAGGTTCCCAGCTGCGTCGGGGGAGTCGAAGGACTTCTCTCGCTGGGGACTTTAAACCCTGCCAGGGGCCTCTGATCTCCTGTGCTTGGCAGGCCAACCCTAACTGGGGTTTAAAGTCCCCAGCAGGAAAACCCAGGGAAGCTGCCCCAACGGTGCCCTTCAATGCTCCCCATGCATCAAGACCCACAGTGTAAGGCACAGGCAGCTGGGGAGCTGGGAGCTCTGCTTCTCAGCTGTCCATGCCCCACACCACAAAGTAATGTCTGCAACTGTGGAGCAGAACTCCCAGCTCAGCTGCTATTTCCACTGGTGCCCTGGAACTTAAAAAAGTAGGCGTGCAGCTGGGGCTCCTGCCTATGTGCCTTCTTAAAGCTCCAAGATACAGTGAGGCTGACATTTGCGAAGATACTTCCTGATGTCAGGCTCATGGCCCTGCTCCTTGTCTTCCTCCCCCCTGCCATCTGCCTCTGGGGATTGGTTGGGGTGCCAGGTCCAGGACCTAATTCTGCCCTCAGCCTGATCCCATTGATCGGGTAGGGGGCAGCTGTGCCTGGGATCCTGGGGCTGCCCCATTCCAGATCTGTACAATTAGCTGAGCATGGGGATCTATCATGGGACAGCCCCAAAATGCCAAATGTTCAAGGTATGATGCAAATGAACCACAAAGATGTTACACATTATAAATGCAATAGCTTTGTGGCTTGTGTGCTATATATCATACCACAAATTGACTTTACCATATAGCCAGGTTACTGTTTATGGCGTGCTTAGCACCTTCATCTCTTAAATATAACATTTTATATATAATTCTGCACTCCAGCAGCCCTGCACAGTTCTTACTATCGCCATCAACTGGTATGCCCGTGTATTAGAAGACAGAATTTAATCTTCTCCTCAGCACCTCATTTTGGAGGTATAGTCCCCTTCCACATAAGTCCCAGTGCTCCAGAGTCAGCATTGGCTCCTAGTTACTGGGAGCCAGTACTTTAGCACTGGCTCCCAGTAATTTTCCTGGCACAATTCAATGTGCTGGTTTTGACTAAACGGCCTGGGCACTATGTAACTAAGGCACCACCTTATCCTTTATGTCTTACTGTGACTCCTAAAGTCAGCCAAGAGCAGCTTCATAGAAGTACCATCCATGCTCAGCGTTTGCTTGGAAGTACATGGGAGGTCGTTCCTCATAGTCACCACTCGACTCTGGAACTTGCTGTCTCTTGAAGTCTGCCAGAGAGCCTGAGCATGGGCATCTTTTGGAAGTTCTGTAAAACCTTCCTATTTGAGCAGATGTTTAGCAGGCAGTGCTGGGCTGGGATATTGTTTAGAGGGTTGTTTTTTTTCTTTATAGGTTATTTTCATTTTCTGTTGTCTTTTATTTTGCTTCTTTGTTTTGTTTTCTTGTTTGTTTTAGATGCTTTTTGCTGCCTTCTGTAAGCCACCTTGGGCCTCTGTCAGGAAAAGCAGTATATAAATCAAATAAATAAATATAAATAAACTAGTGAATGATGGTGGGGGGAGGGCCAGGGGAGGACAGAGTGCAGCCACGCACCACCCCATATCACTGCTGCCTCCCAGGAGCTGGGGGGAGGTGGCGAAGCTTCCCCCTCTGTCCCCCTCCAACAGTACCCCGCATTGCCGTTCCCCCACCCCCAGCCCTGCTCCTTGGAGGCGGGCGGGTGGCAAGGCCAGCGGTGCTGGACTCGCTCCCCTACTCCATCCCCTCCGTCTCTGCCGTCATGTTGGTGCTCTGCACTCTGATTGGTTGTTTCACTAACCAATCAGAGTGCTCGAAAAGCATTACGGACAGAGAGACAGACTGATGGACTAAGCCCTTTATTCTATAAGAATTAGTTGTCCTACAGAGGAGTTGAATTAACTTTGTAACTTCTCCTGTGGAAGCTTTGGACTAATATTTTTCTATGTTTTATTATGGGTAAGCTTCAACAACAAAATGAAGTGTTTGTAATACTTGTTTGTTACAGCACTGTGATGATGGTTGGCCTTCAGTAAGTTGAAACTAATCTTGAAACATTTTTTCAGAACCCTTATTCCAGGGAAGAGGAAAATAACCTTGCCTGTGTCATTGAAAGTGATGAAGAACTAGAAATGGAAATGATTAAAGTAAGTGCCCAAACTTCCTTGTTTATACCACCCTCTGTGAGGAAACTTGATCATTTGGGGTCAAGAGTAAAGGGATGAAATTACTATAGTGTGTTTTACAGTGCATTTTGATTTCTGTCCAAGTTGGGTGAATTTGCTGACGTTCTGGGGGGTAGGGTTAGGATTCAGAGTGACCTTGATAAACTGGAGAAGTAGTCTGAAATCAATTGAATGAAATTCAGTATGGACAAATCCAGATTGGATAATGACTAACTGGCTAGGCTGCAGTACCTCAGAAAAGGACTTCTACCCTGGCACCTGTCCCCACAGCCTCTGCTCCCTGCAGCTTCTGCCCCCATTCCCCACAGCCTGTGCCACTTTCCCCATCCCCTACTCCCCACAGTCTCTGCCTTCTTCCCCCTTTTTCTCCCCTGCTGCTTATTGTCAGATGTGGCTCTGACTTCATTCCCTTCTGGCTCATGGATCACATGGAAGTGTGGATCCTGCCCAGCCATGCAGCAGTGTCCCAGGACTAGAGGTGCACTGCTGCTGACTGCAGGCAGGGGATGGAGTTTCCATGTGTTCAGTGCTACTTGAGGGAATCCATCCAGAGCTGGAGCCAGAGCCATGCTTGACAGTAAGTAGGAGGAGAGGGGGCAGAGGCTGCAGAATGCAGGGGGTGGGGAGGGGGGATGGGGATTGGACTGCAGTGCTGTTGCTCTGACTCTGGCCCCTACCTTGTACTCTGTTCCAAGACAAGGGACTTTTGTCCCCCATGTTAAATGGGGAAAAACTAATCTTGGATTTGAGTAAATAGGGTATTTCCACTGTTTTCAGTGAAACCACTGACATGTTTAACTTGAAATGTATACTCACATGCTGTGGTGGATCAGGGCCAAATTAAGAGAGAGTATGATTTTTAAACCATAGAAAAGTAGGGCTGGAAGGGAACTTGGGAGATCATGTAGTACAACATCCCTCTTGCTCAAGACAGGATCAAGCCTGCTTAAACCATCCCACTCAAATGTCTGTCTAACTTGACATTAAAAACTTCCAAGAATGGAGATTTCCCCAGTTTATCTGGGTAGCCTATTCCAGTGCTTAACCACTCTTTATAAGAACGGTCTTTCTCATATCCAATCTAAATATAATCTGCTGCAGTTTGAGACCATTGCTCCTAGTCCTGTCCCCTGTGGTCACAGGGACTAGTCTATCTCCATCCTCCATATAACCATTCTTCATGCATTTGAAGACTGTTATCAAATCCCCTCATGCACATTTCCTTGTCCAAACTAAATAGTGTTACTTCTTTCAGGCATTCCTCCCAAGTCATGTTTCTAGACCTCTAAATTAGTGAGAACTGTAACACATTTGAGAGCTATTGCAGTGGATGTCCTAATGCGAGCCCTCAAACTGGTCACCAGACATACAAAAAAGTGTGTGTGTGTATATTGATACAGATCTTTTATTTATTTATTTATTTGCAATAATGTTACTGTGTTTCTGGACTGTAGTTTTTTTGTTTTAAATATACCTCTTTTTGGTGCTGTTATACCTATAGATTTCCAATTTATCTGCACATTTTGCATATCAGAACAGGGAAAAGTCTTGCTGGGTTCAGATAAGCCAGGATCTACTGGATGTTCTTTCTAACAATGTCAGTTTCTCTCATGCTGTATATTCTTTCTACCTCAGGCAGGTAGCTCTTAGCTATGTCATCAATAGTGTAAAACAGGGCTTGCCAAGCTACGGTTGGTGGAGCCATTTGGTATAGCCTGCAGACTGGGGGTTTCAGTGCCAAAGAGCTTTGTCTAAATCAGACCATGCCACAGCTGAGTGGGGGGGGGGGGGGGGGCTTCATCTGTGACATGGATGAGTGGCAGAGAGAAGTGGGAGTAGTAGCATTTGAGTCCTAGTATTGGCCTGCCTCAGACCTGAGCCAGGTCATTCTGCCTTGCCTCCACAACAGGTTTGCTGAGCACTGATTTAAAACATATATTCCCTTGTGTGGAATTGTCTTAAATAAAATTTCAGGTCTGTTCATATACTGTGAGTTAACTCCCCCTGCAATTAAATTTCCAGACTTTGGATGATGTCAGCAACTGTAAAGTGGATCTGACTAACTCAAACTCCACTGAAACTAAGAAAGATAGACACACAAAATTGCATCTTGCTCCAGATGATGATGAAGATGAGGGCATTGAGGAGGAGGAGGAAGAAGAAAGCTGGGGTAAATACTGAATTACAATAAAACACGCGACTAAAAATGAAAAAAAAAAAGCAGTACAATGAAAAGTGTGGGTATAAGTAAAAATTGTAATCCATGTAGAGGTGCATTCAAATGTACCATCAAGCTCTGTATTTGATTTATTAAAGATAGGGTCTCTGTATAGTTACACATTACATTTCTGCCTTAATTTAATTTGTTAATCGCAGCATAAATTACAAGAGTGCTACACCTACTTTTAAAGTGCAGTAACATGGTACACAAGCCATAAAAATGTTCCATACATACAGTTAGACAAGGTTCTTTGGGTACAAGGCTGTCTCTGGTGGCGCGAATTGGGGCAACTGCCCTGGGCCCCGTGCTTTGGAGGGCCCCACAGAGCCAGGCAGAGCAGCGGCAGTGAGGAGCTGAGTGGAGCGGCGGCTCTGTGTCCAGCTGCTCACTACACCACCTCTCGCTGTTGACACTGCGGTGGCAGCTTCTTCGGGTCTGGGATTGGGGTGGGACCCCATATGGGCTGATTTGTCCTGGGCCCCGCACCCTGCTTGGGTTGCCTCTGTTTGGGTAAATCTGATATTGTTTATTAGACCAACTAAATAGTTGGAAAAAATTTTTAGCAAGCTTTTGGGTTTAAAAACTCTTTGTCAGGCTAAGGAAGGATCTGCAGTTCGTGTGTGCTCTTCCTGGAAGGAATGAATAGTAAATAGTCCAGAAGCTGGTATGTATGCAGGAAAGCCAGTCAATGAAGATGTAAATTGAGGAGTCAGTGGGTGAGAGACAGGCTGGGAGGGTGGGCCGGGGGAGAGGGATGAATGTAGCAGGTAAACTTATACGATGGGGAACTCCCTACTTGAGAGCACGGAGGCGGAAAGGGATCTTGGTGTCATTATTGACTCCAAGATGAACATGGGCCGACAATGCGAGGTCATGGTTGGCAGGGCTAACCGGACCTTGTCGTGCATCCACAGGTGCATCTCGAATAGAGCCAGGGAGGTGATCCTCCCCCTCTATGCGACGCTGGTCAGGCCGCAGCTGGAGTATTGTGTCCAGTTCTGTGCGCCCCATTTCAGGAGGGATGTGGACAACATGGAGAGGGTCCAGAGGAGGGCCACCCGCATGATCCGGGGACAACAGGGCAGACCCTACAGTGAGAGACTGCGGGACCTGAACCTATTCAGCCTCCACAAGAGAAGGCTGAGGGGGGACCTGGTGACCGTCTATAAACTCACTAGGGGGAACCAGAAGGGTTTGGGGGAGACGCTGTTTCCCCTAGCCCCCGCTGGCATAACAAGGAGTAATGGGCACAAGTTGATGGAGAGGAGGTACAGATTGGACATCCGAAAAAACTACTTCACAGTTAGGGCGGCTAGGAGCTGGAACCAACTTCCAAGGGAGGTGGTGCTGGCCCCTACCCTGGGGATCTTTAAGAAGAGGCTGGATACTTACCTGGCTGGACTCATTTGAGTCCCGTTTTTGTTTTTAGGGTGAGTGGTTTTTTTTTGTTTTTTTTTTGGGTTGTTCTCCCGCCCTGGCGGGGGGGCGGGCTAGAAGATCTATTAGGTCCCTTCCGACCCTGAAACTATGAAACTATGAAATAGTGGAGAGGTACCTGGGGAGAGGTACCTGGGGAGTCAGATGTCAGGCAAGTTATAATGCGTCATAAATCCAATATCTATATTTAGTCCATGATTTTTTGTATCCAGGGGCTGAAGTGAAGTTCATAGGCTCATCTGTGAAAAGTGTTTTGTAAATTCCCTTTGAGGATTAGACCAACTGCAGATGCTTCCTCAGCCTGCCAGAGGATTTTTAAACCCAAAAGCTCACTAAATTTTTTTTCCAAATATTTAGTTGGTCTAATAAAAGATATCAGATTTACCCAAAGAACTTGTCTGCCTATGTTCTTAGACTAGCAAGTCTACAACCTACACCCCTGTATGCATACAGTTAAACATTTTATGGCTGATTTGTGTAGTGCTTTAAATTGAACAAGTGGCATGCCCAAGGCTGCCTCAGGTCTGCTGCCAACAATCATCTGATTGCCGGTCCTGTCCCCAGGATCACAATGGGGTCTTGAATTGGCCTTGGTGCAGTCCTGGGGCCAGGGCTGACAGCAAATTGTTGGCCCTGATCCCAGGACCACACTGGATCACAATGGGCTGTGGGCATCTGGCTTTTAGCTTGTCAGTTCAGAGGGACCCTGGAATTGTGGTCCCAAGCTTCTGCAGCACTGGCAAGTAGAAAGGGTGTGATTGGGATCTGATCCCTGGAATCGCATCTTAAGTTGTAACCCAGCTACACAATCAATCAATCAATAAATGATATGATAAAACAAGGAATAAGCCACAAAATTGTTCCACAAAAAGTGTTACAACTTTGGCTTGTTCTTACCATGCCATTAATTGAACATGTGGCCAGATGTACTTGTATATCTGTGACCATATGTCCCAGGCAAACGGGGACAGTACTGGCTTCCGTAGTCCGGTCCTAGCCAGTTGGTCAAAAGTCCCAGAGCAGGGTCTGGCCAGGGATCCAGAGCAACATAATGCGCCTGGCAGGCAGTGCTTTTCCTGTGTGGGAACAAGGTGGGTGGACTGGAGCAGGTGCCACCCCATCCACATATGGCACGTTCTTGTTCCTGCACAGGAGCAGTAGTGCCTGTTCAGCCACCTGCCTGGTATAATATGGTGCTCCATATCTCCACTGAGTTCCACTCTGGGACTTTTTTGACCAACCAGCCAGGACCAAACTATGGAAGCTGAGACTGTCCAAGCTTGCCTGAGACATATGGCCACCCTATCCTAACTACATCAACTGGGGATCAAGGAGAGCAATTCACACTTTAACTCCTGGGAGTGTTTGAAGATATGCTGGGTTTTATTAGAATTGTGTAGATTCAGGACCCTTAAAATCACTAGCAGCAAACTGCCTATTATATTTTGGGCCAGGACTGAACACCTTAGAGCTAAATATACATGCTTTTTTTTTTTTGTCTAAGATCCCTTGTTGCCCAGCCCTAGTGAAAAAGAAGAAATATGTTTAAAAACATATTTTGGTCATTCTGCTTTTAAACCGTGAGTATGTTTTTCAGTTAACCATTACATATCTGGTTTCTTTTTTAGAAAGATTTTGCATTGTTAGGTGTTTTAAAAACCATCACCAGCCCTGGCATTGTTCAAAAAGGTGTAATTTCTGCATTGAGGATCTGTCAGAGTATATCTACAGGGAACTTTACTGTGTGATCAGCAATATGTTTAACAGGTTTTGTTTTTAGTAGGTGCAGATAATTACACCTTTGTGAAGTTAACTGTAAATTTTTTAATTATTTAATAAGAAGCTTAAGCTACAAAGACCTCTCTCTGGGCACCATAAAATTGTAAACACAAATATTTTATCTTAATGAGAAAGGCAGACTACAGTAGCCCTCCAGGGCAAGTCTACACAAAATGTTTAATGCAGAGTAGACTAATTAGCTCCACAGTAAGCATCTCACATCTACACAGCTGTTAGGCTGTGGGAAACTAATTAACTCTGCAGCAGAGTAGTACTTGTTAATACAAATACCATCCTGCTGCGGAGTTATTTATTCCATAGCACTGCACATGTAGACACTGACATGGCTGGTTGGGGCATGAGAATACTTCAATGTCACGGCTGCCTGCTGGCTAGCCCCATACGGGGGCACCCTTGTGCCCCAGTCAGCCCTTTCATAGCACATTGAGCCATGTCAGAGAAGCCCCGGGTTGGAAGGCTGACCCCCCCCAGGTCTCCTGCCAGCCAGGGTTGCTTCAACTGGGTTCAACATGCTGTGGTCCCAGGAGCATGTGTAAACACAATGTCCAGGAGCAATAAACTCCAGCACGATAAGCACCAGAGTTTATTGCTTCGCCTTAATAGCATGTGTAGACGCATCCAAGCAGTCGTAAATATACTTGTAGTGGGAGGACAATCAGATATACAAGCACAACACTGCTGTACAGGGAATAGATTTTTAAGGGGTCAGAACCAACATGCAGCGTTGGTTTAACTATATAGTCAGGAGAGAAGTTTGATAGGCTTTCTGGCACAAAGTACACTTCTCCAGAAGTTGCAAAAGCAAAGCATACTTCTATACAATTGATTCACTATATATCAGGCCTCATTTATGTGTTACAGGTATCGTGCAATTAACTGGTTAATTGTTCAGGTGCCTTGAGACCAGCTACATATGCAAAGTACTTATCATACTATAAAAAGCTCCAACCATCTATAAAGTTAGACCTTGAAAATGTGTACTAACTTTATAGCTGGTTGCTATTGTGCTTTAATTTGCATCTAGGACTGGGCTCCCTCTGCACTGGCAATAAGGCACATTTGGATCTAATGCACAATCCCACAATCACGCTTACTGCTATACACAGGAGGAGTCATGACTCTGCAGATCACTCATGAATTCCCATTGTGCATTTACCTGCACATGTAGTGGGGGCCTCAGTGTTGCTAAGATCATTATATGTTCTTGTTTAGAAAATGAGGACAATAAAATAATTATTAAAATGTTGCCCAAGGTATGTTTGTAGCTCAAATTTTATTAAAAAAATATATAATTTTGGGGGAGGAAATCCATTTTGACAAATTTTTGAGATGCAATAAAGAGAAAAAAAATGTTAACCTTTTCTTTTACCCAACTATATTTGGTGGTATTTTAGATCGTGTTGCAGTATTTACTGTGATCAAGTTGACTATTTTTTAAATATTATTTGCAGATCAGTTTTAATCCTGTGCTGGGTACCCACTGTGTTTTGTAGTCTTCCACTAAAGGCAGGAAAATCCTGCTCAGCTTGCTGTAAGGATTTCTGTATGACTTCAAAGGTGCTGTTTCTGTTAGCAAGGCAAGCAGGGTTTGACTGCATGTAGCATGTAGGAATCAAGAGGCCACATAAACTACATGAAATACGTAGACGAATGCAGGGTGCTGCACCTTGGGAGAAGGAATCCACAGCATACATACGGGCTGGGGAGTTCCCTTCTTGAAAGCACAGAGGCAGAAAGGGATCTTGGAGTCATTATTGACTCCAAGATGAACACGAACTGCCAACGCCAGACCGCAGCCAGCAAGGCCAGCCATACCTTGTCATGCATCCAAAGGTGCATCTCAAGCCGGTCCA